AATTTCTGTTGACCTATCTTAAAGTTTACTAATTATTTCTTCTATCAGTTACAAGATACAGTCGTGCTCCTCTGGTAAATTTTTTCACTTTACTTATTGTACTTTTAAACTCAAGAATTTCCATTTTGGCCTTTTTATAATTTTGGTATTTTTGTTGATATTCTCTACTCAGAGAAACATTGTCATCATACTCTTCTTTACTTTTTAAGTAAGATTGTTTCCTTTAATTCTCTGAACATATTTATAATGTCTACTTCGAATTTAAATGTTACATATGCCATCTGGTCCCTCTCACGTACAGTTTCTATTGTTGGCTTTTCCTCCTGTGTATGAGTCACACTTTCCTGTTTCTTTGCATGTCTTGTAATTTTGTTGAAAACTACACAGTTTAGATATTATATTAATCACCATGGATACTGTTATCTCACTTCCAGGGGATTATTACTGTGATTTGATTGTCAAATTGTTTAGTGTCCTGGCTGGGCTATATTAGTGAAGTCTATAGTCATGCACCACATAACAATGTATCATTCAGTGAGGGACTGCATATAATATGATTGTTCTATAAGATTATAGTGGAGCTGAACAACTCCTCATGACATTGTAGCAGTTGTAACATCACAGCACCTCACATTTCTCATGTGTTTGTGATGATGCTGGTATAAATAAATGTGCCATGCTGCAGTTGTATAAAAGCATAGTACATTGAATTAGAAGTATAGCACAGTACCTAATGCTTGATAATAATAATAATTTTACTAATTTATGTATTTACTATACTATGCTTTTTATCATTATTTTAGAGTGTACTCATTCTACTTACAAAAAAGTTGTTATCTGTAGTATAGTCCCAGACAGATCCTTCCAGAGGTTATGCCAGAAAAAGCTATTGTTATCATAGGAAATGACAGTTCTATGCTTTTTATTGTCACTGAATACTTTCCACTGGGACAAGATGAGGAGGTGGAAGACAGTGACACTGATCATCTTGACCCGTTGCAGGCCTAGGCTAACGCGTGTGTTTGTGTCTTAGTTTTTCTTTTTTAAGTTTAAAAGGAAAAAATAAATTAAAAATAGAAAAAAGCTTATAAGGATCTAAAGAAAGAAATGATTTTTGTACAGCTGTAAAATGTGTTTGTGTTTTAAGCTAAGTGTTATTATAAAAGTCCAAAAGTTAAAAAAAAAGTTACAGTATGCTAAGGTTTTGCCCTAGGTCAACACATTTACCTATCATTTCTTGCTGACTCACCCAAAACAACTTCTAGTCCTGCACACTCTATTTATGGTAAGTGTACTTTTCTTAATCTTTTATATTATATTATTACTGTACCTTTTCTATATTGAGAAACAGAAATGTTTGCCACTGTGTCACAGTTGCCTAGAGTATTCAGTGTACTACTATGCTGCACAGGTTCATAGACTAAGAGCACTAGGCTATACCATATAGCTTAGGTGTACAGCAGGCTATACCATCTAGCTTTGTAGAAGTACACTTTATGATTTTCATACATTGACAAAATCTCTAAACAATGCATTTCTCAGAATGTATTCCTGCCATTAAGTAATGCATGACTATTTCCTGGCTGTGTGTACACTCCAGTGTTGCTCTCAGAGGGTGCAGTCTTAGGCCTGTATGCAGACCCTGAAGTAATAGTGATTTTAGCAGGGATATTTTGACTGTCACACTGATCACACACAACTGTTAGGCTCCACTAATTGCCAGCTGATGATTGTATTATTTTTTATAATGCCCTGGGTTGCAAATTGTTTCATATGCTGATCCAAACAATTCAGTTTGGATTCCTTTATAGCAGTTGTTTTGAGGTCAGGTTTCTTAGCTGTCTCTTTCTTGGGCTCTCCCAGTTATTCTATCTGGCCTATAATTTATTTCTTACCTCTCATGAATGTATCAGCCTTCTTCTTTGCCTTCCACTAAAACCTTCATTGTTTTTGAGTTTCTTTGGACTTGAACTTTTCTACCCTCTGTTTCAAATAAAGTGAGTTCCTTCAGAGCCTTCTGTTTTATGGCCTGACTCTTCCCCTGAGCAAAATATCTGAGCCATAGCTCTGGAGCTGGGGGTGAGGACAGTGGTGCAGTTCTCACTAAGGGACAACTCTGCTTTAGTTTCAGGGTGGTAGGCAGGGGTAGCAGCTTTGAATTTCCTGGCTTGCCTCTCCGGGTGTACAGCTTCTACTCTATGAGTGAGGATAACTGGGATCCCAGCATCCTCAACGTGCTTCTCTCAAGCCAGATCCCCTGCTCTGTGAGTGAGGACTGGGTACAAGCAGGAAGTCTCTGACCTCTTGTCTTTCCTCTCCTGGAAATTAGCTTCTGCAGTGTGTAGTTGGAAAAGAGAGGGATGAGCAATGCTTGGCCACCTACCCCTTCTGGGAAGATGCCACAGCCCTTGACTGGGAGCTGATAGTAAAGAAGCCCAGTGCTCTTGGCTGCACATCTCTGGAGTGGATTTTCTATCATAATGAGCTGGGAGGTGGGAGGAAGTAGTGGGTTGTGGTTCAAATATCATAGACTCTCACTATTCTTACCAAGTTTTGATAGATCTTCTTAAGTAAATGTTTTCTTTGTTTGCAATATGCTCTTAGCACAATTTCCAGATACTTGAAGTGCTTTTTTTTAGATGTTTGTTTTCACCAATTATCCTTGTTCAATTGGCCTGGCAGTCTGCAGAGCTCATTGTCACTCACAGTTCGTTAAAGCTGCTCACCAATAGTTCCAGTGTCTGGATCAGCTCTGCGTTGAGTTCCATTGTTTTTTTCTCTTGAAAATGGATTGTTTTTCAACTGTTCAACATACAATGTACAGCCTTTAAAAAAAAAAAAACCGATGACACAAGGAAACAATCCATTCTCAAGAGAAAAAAACAATGGAACTCAATGCAGAGCTGATCTAGACATGGTAACTATCGGTGAGCAGTTTTAAAGCAACTATGATTGATGGGGAAGCTCTCTGGCCAGATAAGCAAGGATCATTGGTGAAAACGATTATTTAAGAAAAGCACTTAAAGTCTGGAAATGAGCAAACCTCTTCTCTGGTGGAGGTTGAAGTTTGAGGAGTTCAGTGAATCTGGTTGGGAAGTTGAGCTGTTTGGTTGTCTTTGGCGAACTGTACGCTACACATTCCTTTAGTCATGCCTTCCTGTTGTCTTGGGCTCAGGGTTTTTAGATTGGGTTTAACGCAGAAACAATAACCAGTGGAATACTTTACATTTGTGAGATATTTTAAAACCTTCACAGTGTTATCACAGCTGTTCTTTATGCTGATCTCTTGGCCTAACCAGATAGATATTTGTATGAGGGATAATCCTTCATCTCTTGGTCATTATTTTCAGTATGCTGGGACCATGTGGTCTTGGTAAAGCAATTTGCTTGCAACTTTTTCTCCTGAATTTATTTTTTTATTGTTCTGAAGACCATGAACCTGCATGGTTCAAAACTGTTTTGAACAGTTTTCCAAAAAATCACCCATATGTACATTTACGCTTTTCCCCTAGATTTACTGGCAATTTCTTTCATATGGTTAGCACTAAATACCATTCTTAAAGAAATGACCAGATTTTAAATTTGTTTTCTATTCTTGGCCATTACTTAAGACTTGGACACTCTTTTCCAGAATTAAGGTAGAGGGGATAAAGCTTTTTTCTTTAACTTGTGTTTTCGCCTCCTATTCACTTTTTGAGAATGGGACATTAGCAACAGTGCTGAGGACAACAAAAGATTCTGATTTAATGAGAATTAACCAGGGATATAACCCTAAACATGCAGACACATAATTTACCTATAGCTTTGACTATAGATAAATTGATGTTGAGATCTTCTGTCTAGTTACTTAACCCAATTCCATTGTATATTAGGCTTTTCTCTCCCTAAATATTAAAAAGGTCTGTCTTCTCTTAGGTTACTTTTTAGAACTTGTCATGGAATTGGGAGCTGTTAATGCTTCTGCAACCACCCCCAACTCATTCTCTAACACCCACCCCCTAAACTACTGTGAGAGTTTTCTTCTAAAAATGCTTACAACCTCCCCTTCAGGGAATCACAGTAGGCTGAACAGAAACCACCTCATGCAAGTTTACACTCTAACCCTTCCCAAAAAAAGCCCACAGCCTGAGACAGATTGCCTGAAAGAGAGATATAAAAAGCCATTCCATTGGTTTCATCAGATCACCTCTATGGATGTCCTACGGGACGTGGCTAAAACCATATCCCGAGTTAACTCTCTGCCTTTGCCTTCTCCTGCTTACCTTCCTCTTTTTTCCCAGAGAGCATCTCCACTATATGTCACTTCCACAGGAATCCCTGTCTCAGGCTCTGCTCTGAGGGAGCCCAATCCAAGTCCATTGGAAGCGGTTCTAAAAGCAGACAATCTGGAGGTGGGTCACTTGCTGGTGATGTCAGAGAGGACTGCATCACTGGAGGTACTGACCCCAGAGCAGTGAGATGATGGAGTAAATGCGATTGTTAAGATTTTTCTCTGCTTTTGCACCAGTATTTGAAAGGGTCAAGGAAAATAGTAACTATAAGGACTGTGGAATTTAGTAGATGTTTGCTGAGTGCCCCAACGATGATGAGAAGAGAAAATGACAGGCTCGACTCTACTTAAAAGTATGAGAGTCAGAGGGCATCTTTGGCAGCAATTAAAGAAATACTCCCTGTGGTCAAAGGGCTGACAAAGTGAAGACTCAGAATTGAACTTTAAAAGTAACAGAATTTCAAAGAAGATTCATTCAGTCTAACCAAGTCTCCTATAGCAAAGAGCAGTCCATGATAGGGAATGAGTGGGACTCTTAGTCTTGGTGTAAAGATTTCTGGATAAATGCAGTTGAGAACTTTGGACTGCAGAAATATCTCATTCCCTTATTGGAAGATATGGCCCCCTCTCTTGCTTTAGGAATATGCAAAGAGTTCAAATAAAGTCAGTGCCTTACGAGATGATGCTTGTCTTCCTCAGAATCTGCTCCCTTTTCTTCTCCTTCTACCAGATTCATATACAAGGTTAAATATCGACATAAGCTGAGGAAGAGCTGAGGCTGCTCACAGAAAACAGATTTTGTACCCCAGAGCTCCTGTAAGAATGGGCAAAAGCACACTAGCAGGTACTAGGAGGGATGCCTGTGGGTGGATCCAGAGGGCCGTGAATCCAGGGGTGATTGGAAGATAAAGCTGGATAAGGAAGGGTTTGTTAATATGAAGCCACTCTGCCATCATGCAGTATTTAATACTCTGGTAAGGAGCCTGGAAAATGAGTCTAATATATGCTATTTGCTGCCTCATGGAAGCTTGGAAAAAGTAACATCCTTCATTAAATTAAGCAGAGTTGCCAAAAATTGCCTTGGAAGACAATGAAGGAAGGGATCAAAAGGCTTAGAAGAGTAGAAGTGCTATAATGGGTCTACTGTGTAAGACAGAAAAGCCCAGCAGCTGATATGTTCCCAAGGAAACCTGGAGGACACTCTGCCTAGCAAGGTGATTAAAAAGAATGTGCTGTAAAAGAAAGTATTAGCTGCAGTGGATTATGTTAGGAGCTGCTGTTACAGAACTGAGTTCCCTAGTAGCAAGGGTAGCAAGGGGACATGGATAACTGGAAAAGCAAAGGCCAGGTGGCAGCGCTGAACTGTCATATGCAAAGCGTGCAGGCTTACCCTATTGAGCAGAAAGGTTGAACTGGTAGACAGGAGCAGGCTGAAGTGTGTGGCTCTTTGGAGATGGCTCACAGAACTTTGTGTTCTTGAGGCAGGCTGTGTGGGCAGCCAACAAGAGTTCTGCTGAATATATATAACTGAAAGAGATCAAGAATGTAGAAGAAAAAGGACAAGAACAGTCACCCCACTGGAAAGTCAGAATCTTTGCCCAGTCTCCAGATTTGAGCCAGTCCTCAGACCCAGGATCTATCAAATGAAAAGGAACCTGAGGCACCAGAGGTAGGGTCCTGTGACACCATGACAAGTATGTCTAGTAGCAGTTCCCTGAGTTTTTCCCTACAACCATCTACATAAGTAATCATCACTGGAGAAGGGGGGATATTCAGATATGTCAAGGGCTGTGGGATGTAGTAGTATGAGAGTTAAAACTGATTCCCAGAGATCCAAAGCACCACGAATGGGCCCCTTATTAGAGAAACCTAAAGGAGTCAGGTAACGAATGAAGTGCTGATCTAGATGTATCTCACAATCATTCCCTCTTCTTTTTCTTTCTTTTTTTTTGAGACAGAGTCTCACTATGTCGCCCAGGCTAGAGTTCAATGGCACGATCTTGGCTCACTGCAACCTCTACCTTCTGGGTTCAAGTGATTCTCCTGCCTCAGCCTCCCAAGTAGCTGAGATTATAGGCACCTGCCACCATGCCAGGCTAATTTTTGTATTTTTAGTAGAGATGGGGTTTCACCATGTTGGCCAGGCTGGTCTTGAACTCCTGACCTCAGGTGATCTGTTCACCTTGGCATCTCAAAGTACTGAGATTACAGGCATGAGCCACTGTGCCTGGCCTTGTTCCTTCTTTTTTTTTTTTTTTTTTACTTCTTTTCTTTGCCATTTTCCCCCTTTTACTTTTCTCTTTTCCCCATCACTTCCACGCCCCATTCTCCCTCTCCTTCTTCCTCTCTCTCTCTCTCTCTCCCTCTCTCTCTCTCTGTCACACACACACACACACTCACACACATTCACACACATACACATACTCTGAATGAATATTCATTCTGCATCAGGCTTTATGCTAGGCACTGAGAACTCAGAGGTGAAATCCAGCTCATCCAACCAAGAGCTCAGTCCAGTGAGGGAGAGGGATGAGTTAGTGAACAGCACGTGGTCACAAGCACCCCAAGGAGGAGTGTACAGGGAGTGCGGCAGCACAGAGGAGGAGCAGCCAACTGGGCCTGGACGGGGAAATAAACAACTTAGATATCTACTCACAAGTCTCTCCATCTTCCCATCTCTCCGGTTTCCCACTCAAATGTATATCAACACTTCATAATTTATTTTAGCTCAAGGGAAAAAATTATAAATATAATCCATATAAATAAGATACTGGCCAATTTACATCATTAGACAAGTCAATCTTTCTAATTTTTTTCATCTTTAACTTCTTCTAACATGTTAATTCTGCACACTGACTTCTTTCAAAGTGTTTACTTGTGTATTTCATCTCACAACACCACATGGTCTATGCATACAGCTTATTCTCTGTCTCCCTCTCTCGCACACAACATTCTAGAAGCATTGCTCACTATAACACCACCTTTCTTTCTTGAAAGGCCCGAAAATCACTGCTGCAATGTTTTTGATTTGGGCCTCTTCTCTCATAACATGGTCTGGGTCTGGAGCTTTCGGCAAAACAGCAGATCTTGGCACACAGAGGGGAACACAGCAGCCGTCGACAGGTTTGGTCAGGCAGCTGTCCCTTGCACTGTGGCCCTGGCCTCACCCTGGGTTTCTGCTTCTGTCGTGTGTGGCCTGCTCTCGGAAGGACTGGGTCATCTTGCTTTGAGTTTGTAGTCTTGCTTATAGATTAATGAACAGACTCCTTCACCTGTCAGCTTTCATTTATTTATGTTTCCTTTCTCTCATACTTAGTTACATTTTGATCCCTAGGAAATTCTTTTTAGGATCTGACTGTGCATCTTTCTCTATTTCCATTGGTTCCCTGAGCAATCTATCCACTTTGCAGTCTTTGTTCCTGTTAATGTGCCTATGAAACATACATATATGTATTAATATATACACATTCTTTCCCTTGCACCTTTTCTAATTACATATATAATATATATTTTATGTATTATATATAACATATATGCATTTTATATCATATATGTTATATATAATATGCTATAGAAATATCTATGGATCCTACATATACATCATAGGAAAAGGTGCAAGGGAAAGAACACATACATGTATTCTTGCACCTTTTCCTCCCTAGTCTACCTCTGTTTGTCATTCAGCAGACCCAGGCTCAATTCCTAGCACAGACATAACTAACCATGTGAATTTGGACAATGACTTATTGTCCAAATTCAAAGAAAAAAGAAATCTGAAGATCAAAGAAAAGTGCAGATGACCTCAGACGGCTCTTCTATCTCTGAAGCTTATGGCCCAATGTGTACCTGTTCCTTTAAATATTGTCTTTTCTATGTTTTTCAACTCCTAAGAAGTGGTCCCTCTCATACTCACAGGGGTGGATACCTGACTTAAGCCCACACAACTCAGAATGGGGAGAGCTGAGACTTGAGCCTAAGTCTGGCTGTAAATCCCGTGTTTTTCCACTAATTGTTTTCCAATGATGAGATGAAATTCAGGGGAAAGAATCTGGACCTCTGGGAAAGCTACTCTAAAGCTGCTCCTCTGCACTTATAGCCTCTCCAGAGTAGTTTTCTGCTCAAATTTTAAAGTGTTCTGGGAGGCTTCAGAAAAGTACCTCATCTGTGAGAAAGAAATTAAATAACCTGGCAGAAGCTGGTTACCTTCTGGAAACTCCTGAGGGAGGAGTTCCTGCTTGTAAGATTGCTTTCTGAATGTTCTCATGGTTGGCTTGACATCAGTTGGGTTGTCTATGAAATGTCTATTTAACATGACTAGAAATGCATGCTAAGAGATTAACCTTAAGGGAGGCCAAGTCCCAGCTGAAAGCAAGTGTAAGACACGGGGGACCCACCATTTTCTGCCTGGTAATGTTTTTCTTTTAAATCTGAAATACAACATCCCCCCCAGGGGATCCACCCTACTTTTTCTCCCCCGCCATCTAATTAGAAAGATTGACTTGTCTAATGATGTAAATTGCCCAGTATCTTATTTACATGGATTATATTTATAATTTTTTCCCTTGAGCTAAAATAAATATATGATGTGTTGATATAAATTTGAGTGGGAATCTGGAGAGACAGGGAAGATGGAGAGACTTGTGTGAAGGTATCAAGATAACTGAAGACCATTCGGTTTGTGGAGGGACAGAGACAGATGGAAAGAGACTTGGGGACTGAATAAGGACTGGATATTAGAGAGGATGATTCAGCTCAGAGCAGAACCAAAGACTACTTGTGGTGAAAGGGAAGTTCATGAAGGCAGGGCTGGGGAACAAGGAACAGAGGTCGGGGGGGGCGCTGGTGGAGTTAGGGAGAGTTCATAGATGCAAACTTGGGGGGACACTAGCTCAGCTGGCTGACCCCGGGGCAGAAAAGCTGGGGTCCAGTAGGGAAGGATGGGAGAGTCTTTAAATACCAGAGAAAGCAAAGCTTCTTAGGAGTGAAACTTAGCTTTTAGCCATAGTACTACCATTACTGACAACATACCTCCAAGCCCTCATGATGAAGACATTGCATACATTATTGCTTTTTTTAAAAAAAAAAAAAAGTGGCCAGGCATGGTGGCTCATGCCTCTAATCCCGAGGCAGCCGGATCATGAGGTCAGGAGATCAAGACCATCTGGCTAACACAGTGAAACCCTGTCTCTACTAAAAAGACAAAAAATTAGCTGGGCGTGGTGGCATACGCCTGTAGTCCCAGCTACTTTTGGAGGCTGAGGCAGAAGAATCACTTGAACACGGGAGGAGGAGGTTGCAGTGAGCTGAGATCGCGCTGCTGCACTCCAGCCTGGGCGACAAGAGCAAGACTCCATCTCAAAAAAACAATTGCATTAAATTTAGTAGGCAATTTTGTTAAAATGCATAGATTGCATAGTAGTCCGATTTTAGGGTATCCATCACGCAAGTAATGTTTATTGTGCCCATTAAGTAATTTCCCATTATCCACCCTTCTTTTGCTCCCCTCTCTTCTGAGTTTTCATTGTCTGTTATTCCACACTTCATGTCCTGTGAGCACATTATTTAGCTCCTAATTATAAATGAGAACGTGCAGTATTTGTCTCTTTGTGTCTCAGTTGTTTCACTTCAGATAATGACCTCCAGTTTCATCCTTTGCATACATTATTTCTAATACACAATAACCTTGCTTAGAAAAGGTTATTATCTCCATCTTACAGGTGAAAAGTGTGAGGGCCACAGAGGTCTAGAAACACCTTAACAGTGACGGAAGTTGTATTTCAACTTGGTTCTGGCTGATGCCAAAGAGCTACTGCGAGGTTTCCCAGCCATTGTTGTGAGATGCTCACAAATCACCACCCACGCGTTGACTGAATAATATTGGCTACGTTCAAGCGTATGCAGCTGATGCTTTTGCAAAGAAAATGCCCAGCCATTGAAAAGTATTGCAGATTCTGCAATTTTGTGTTGCATGAATTTTCTCAACGAAGGGATAAAAATGATCCATTTAATAACTTTTAGCGTCAGGTGGGAGAATTCTCACCATTTGTTCAGGGAGTTCTGTAGCTGAAGGAGTTTGGTAGCCACTGTGTGCTGGGTTTTCCAAGCCAGCTGTGGTCTGCACAGTGTGGTCTGCACCCTGTCTCCAGGCAATCACATGCACAAAGTACACAGTCCAAGGACGTCAACCGTGCGCAAAAGGCACCGTGCACTGCCTGCAGTAGTGTGAGTATGAGGCGCTCAGAGGAACACACTGCAGAATGAATGAGGTGAAGGAGAGACAGATGAGCTGAGCCTGGGCTGTTAAACTGGAAGCCACCGTTTTCCGGGGATGCTGCTAATTACAGCAACCAGAGGTAATATGAAATGATTTTTGCTTGAGACAGTTTCTGCTATCATTGTAGTTTTCTCATTTTTCAAGTTAATTACTGTTTATTAACAGTTTGTTGTTACCACCTACCTTCCAAAGAAGGAATCAGAACCCAGAGAGACCATGATGCCAATTATCAGAAGGGTGTGCAGTCTCAGAGCTGTGGATTTGGCGCCACCTGGTGGCAGCTCTAGGTAGTGCAGCAGCGGTGGCACCAGGGGCTCGGGCCTTCGACTGCAAAGCCTGTTCCCGGGAGGTTAAGGGAGAGAGGGGCAGAGCTTGTGCTTATTGCCGAAGTGAGGAGGGGGGTAAAAAACACAAAAGACAAAAAATATCGGGGAAAATTTTTTGAAAACTTAAAACAAAAATAGACATTCTGAAGCAAACCAAATTTTCAGAAATGGTTTGAGGGAGACCCAGGAACTGAGACACTCACTGAGAAGAATGATTTTCATGAATAGGGAAACACAATCTAACTAATTTTTTTTTTTTTTTTTGAGACGAAGTTTCACTCTTGTTCCCCAGGCTAGAGTGCAGTGGTGCGATCTCAGCTCACTGCAGCCTCCGCCTCCCTGGTTTAAGGTATTCTCCTGCCTCTGCCTTCTGAGTAGCTGGGATTACAGACCACGCCCGGCTAATTTTTTGTATTTTTATTAGAGATGGGTTTTCACCATGTTAGCCAGGCTGGTCTCGAACTCCTGACCTCAGGTGATCCACCTGCCTTGGCCTCCCAAAGTGCTGGGATTACAGGGGTGAGCCACCATGTCCAGCCAATTTAACTAATTTTTAAAAATTTGATTGAATTATGATCTTAAGAAAGATTAATTGAAAGGGATTCAATGCTATGTTGATTCCCTCCAGAAGGAAGAGCCATGGATCCTGGGGCAGAGGTTGATGAAACGGTTACAACTGTAAACCCAGGTTGCTATTTTCTGGGAAAATCCTGTTCTCAGGTATGCATTTAACTGGGATGTTACCAACACATTTACTGTCGCCATGGGGGTTACAGAAGGCACAGGTTGTACTGTTTTTAACTGAATATAATGAATGCTACCAACAATATGACTTCAGCACAGGTCAAGAAGTAGGTCTGCCAGAGGGATATTACTTGCCTTGTCCTCCCCACAACAATGCAAATTAAATACTTTGTCCCACATTAAGGATAAGAAAAACAGGGATTCAGAGATGTCAAATAACTTGCCTGACTACACAAACGCCAAGAGGAGATTCAAATTCAGGTCCATAGTTCCAGATCCTGTTCTTTCCATTCTGTCACGGTGCTTTTCTTTGAACCACGTGCATTTGAAATTTGATTTTAAAGTTTGTTTTAAATTGTATTTATTTGTCAAATTATTAATACATCCATATGGGATAGGGTTCAAAAAGTTCACAAGTATAGGAACGCATGAAAACAAAGAATATGTGAAAAGCAATCTCTCTCTCAGTCACCCAATCTCACTTCCCCGAGGCAGCTGTGCTTCCAGAGCCTTGTATAGCTTTCCAGGGACATGACCACGTGTAGGATTAAGAAGTGTCAGCATCGAAATGACTGAGTTTCCAACATTATATAAAATTTTATTTGTATAACTAAGGCAAAAGTTGCAACAAGAGGTTAATTGACTTAAACATCAAAATTAAAACAACTTTGCTTGCTCCAACAGAAATTTAAATTCAGTCAAAAGCTAAGCACAGAGGATTTTCAAAATAAAATGTGTTAATTCACCATTCAGTCTTTTGAATAGTGTTGAGTCGCAACTAATGGAGGCTTCAAAATGATTGCCTAAAATTTCTCCAAAGCTTTATGCACATTTTCAAAACCCTGTTAGAAAGCTCCGAATTATCCTGTATGTCTTCCTTTCCTTTATTTTGTTAAAAATGTTGTTCTAGTCATGGGGGAAGGTGAAAAAAAATGTTGTTCTGATATCCAAATCTTTTTCTTGGTTATTAGACTGACCAGTAGCCAACCTTGTGGATGTTGGCTAGAGGCACTCATGAAGACTCTGGGCCAAAATGTCAGTTTCGATTTCATTTCCGTTGTATTACAGACAAACTAGATGGTCATTTCTCTAACAAAACATCTTGAAGTCTTAGAAATGCTCCCAAACTCTTTCCCCACATGTTGTTTTGTCAGTATGAGTCCAGTTTTCACATGCAAAATGAATCAGATCCATCACACGCAGTTTTAAGTACATTTTTGCAAGAGGTCCCATTTTTAGCCAAGTCACAGCTGAGCTTTACTTTCAGCTAATTAGTACTTGTTCTTAAATTGGGCAGTTCCAACCCAAGCTAGGAGATGAGATGCAATTTACTTCCTCTCTACTCTCCTAAAATTAACTGAGCTGTAAAATGTGAGTGTTCCCTTGTTTTTCTTTGGGTTTGGTTCCATCATAAAGAATTCAACAGAACTCAGAATATTTCAACAAGTCTTGCTGTTCTAATTTGAACAGTAATAGAGAACTTCCTTTCAAAACCTCAGTTCTTTGGTTGCCAAGCAACTATTAATTTATTGTAACTAACTAGTTTTAAAATTATATGTGATGATGAAATGCAGCAATATGCTTTCCATGCTCCTGAATGTACACAACATTGGCCAGATTCAAATGAATATGGCGGTCTTGAAGCGTCAAAAAAAAAAAATTACTAGGAATGCTTTTTGAGATCAAGAGAAGAAGCAATCTGTCTGTTTCCAGTGTGAGCTTTTTAAGAGTGGCCTTATGGGATACAGGAATCTGTAAGGGTTATAAGGGTTACACAATTTGATGTCCACAAATTAGAGAAGCCCCAGGCACTGAAAGATCCTTGCCCCTAAAGAAGGGTGACATGAACTAGGAATAAGATATCGGGTTCCCTTGAAGGGCCCTGGCAATACCTCCATTCACTTTATTGTCAGTACCTTTTAATTCATCTTGTATTATGTAAGGACATTTTAAAGTGTGTGTAGTCGATTAAATGTGTGAAATTCAATGGGATGGAAGTAGGACATGACTGTGTTTTTCCTTCACTCTTTGCCTCCAACAGGCTCCATCAGATCTCCCTTTCCTTCCCTTGTCACATGTAGGGCAGATCCTGTAATTTTCCTCGCTTTGCTTAAAAACACCTTCATAGTGTCCATGAAGACCCATTATCAGGGTCTGAGAGAGCAAAGAGTCCTCTTGAGCCTTATCTTGAGCCTTGGACACTATGAAGGTGTTTTTAAGCAAAATGTTAAGGTGTTTTTAAGCACAGTGTTAAACTGTGCTTTCCAATTTATATTAGAACTTCAATATTGAATCCAATTTGAAGAACTTCTTTTCTGCTGGCCATAGCTGACCGGCTACTTAGAGACCTGGAGCTCGGGAACCGTTTGCTCTTTTCACTCCTCCTTACTCATCTACTGCCACCCACCTTCTCTGCCTGGATCTTCTGGTATTAAGACAGGAAAGACGAGGTCCAGGGGAAGAGGATGATGTCTTTTCACTTGTCTGGAGCTGTTTGTCCTCTCCCCAGCTGCTGATGCCCTTTTGTGTGGCAAGCATCCAAATGGTATCTTTCTTAGTGGGTGCATTTGTGGATTCTTCAGATACTTTGTAGGAACACCTGCATTTCACATTGCCTTGTGATCCCCTTCATTCTTGTTCTTCTTTAACTTACAGCCTCTCAGTGCTGGGGTCTCCTCATTTGAGGAGGTAGCACTCTTGGGCCAGGACCCTTCACCATGGTTCATCATTCCCATGGCATCCACATGGCCCATTTTGCCCTATCAATGATAGGAATATCAGCTTGCTATCAAAACTTTCTGTGGATAAGGCTCAAGAGGACTCTTTGCTCTCTCAGACCCTGAAGATGGGTGTTCATGGCTGTAACAGTGAGACAGCAAGATAACTAACATAACTAACTCTATTTTTGTTTAATGGGGCTTTACCCGTTCTTGCATGTAGGCTAGGATAATTTTAGAGCACTGAGATATTATGCAAAAATGGCAATCATGTAATTTTAAAAAGTAGCTCTGGGATTAAAGGAGATTTATGAAAACAACTGCATTTTGTTAAAGATTTATAGGAGCATCACAGCCTGACCACAGACGAGGAATTTCCCCACCTCCTCAGACCCTCGCTGGTTCCTGGATGTCGGAGGTCATTGGTCACCTCTCCATCCCAACCCTCTCCTTCTCCAGCATTATCATAAAAAGAGTACAATTTGTACTGACTTAAGATGGTACTTTAAAATGCAGTTCCATCATCGTCTGGGTTTGCTGGCTCTCCGAATGCACATGCTTTTCCTCCCACCAATTTGTGTCTCGTGTTGGGCTCTTGAGCAGTGAGCAGCAGAATCTCGGTTCGGCTACATTGCTTCCTAAGATTATCTCACCATGTCACTCACCAGGGTGGGTCTGTTGGGGTTTTGTGTTCAACCAGAAGTGGAGTAAGTAACAGACCTAATTTCTACAGGATAAGTAAAGAACCTAAGTCTCTTGGAGACCGCCTTTATTTGCCTAGGGCATGTGGCAGAAGGAGCTATAAAACTCCACTCCTCTGAATTTACTCCTTCTAGTAAACAGCCTTATTCTGTATAGCATGGGTGGTGGTGAAACAAAGGCCAATGGATGGTCATGACATTTTTAATAAGTCTTACAGATCTGTGTTTGGCACTTCTTTAAGTTGTTTTTGTACTAAATGCCTATTTCTTGTGGCCTTGACATTCTATGACATATGAAAATGTGAATTTCGTAACATTTCATCACAAGATCCCATGTAAATTGAAATGGAAAAAACAACCAATCAAATCTTCCATCTTCTGCCTAACTTCAGATTTGGCAGAAGAGGTCAGCAAATGCATTAACGTCAGTCTTTGCCCTTCCTAGAGGCAGGATGGTGGGTTAGAAAGTGCTTTCTGTCACTTTGCTTAGAATTTATTCAGGTTATGCCAGTTAATTTCGTAACATTTTCATATGTCATTATGGGTGCCAACCACAAGAGGGCAATGTTTCAGCAGCAGAAACAAAACCCT